CATGAACTGTATAGCTGCTCCGCGTGTGGCGTTGCGGCGTGCATCTTTCATTGGTTTCTCTGGGCCCGTATCTTTCTTCAGTGCCGCCACGATGCGGGAGTAGAAGTGTTGTGTTGAGCAAAACAGCTGCACTTAAATCTCCGGTCAAGTGAAGCAGTTCTTTAGCACGCGTCCTGCGGGCCGCCTTGAATCGTTAGTAATCTATTTAGCGTGAATCCAACCCAACAGTGACCTGCATCCCTTTACAGTTGGCGCGTATAACAAAGCCGTTTTACTTGGCCCCTGATCACCAACTTGTAAGTAATACCTGGGGTTTTAAGTTTAATACTGTTTAAACCCTAGGTTTTAATACCTGGGGGTTTAAGTTTAAGTTTTTTAATACCTGGTGTAAGTAATACCTGGGGTTTGTAAGTAATACCTGGGGACAAGCCGGGCTTTAAAGAGTGTGGAGCACTCTTTAAAAGCCCGGCTTGTCCATCAAGCATTTCAGGCGGCGTGATCCCGTTCACAGTAGTGCGCTCAGTACTGGTCATAACGAAACTAGCAATGCTCAAAAACAGGTCTAAGCAAGTGTATGAGGTCTAGAATAACATAATTAACAGAAACAACCAATAAGCAATCGTGATAACGAACTTAAAACTGACAAAGATACTTCTGAAACATGCACCTGGCTTCCGTGTCGCGCAAGAGATGGCGCCACAACATCGCCAAAGGCGCGATAGCTTCTTCCATTTGCACTTCACCGGCGCTTGGCCACTACACGTGAAGAGGGAAACACCCTAATCCGCAGTCACCGGATTAAACTAGTTTTCCCCCTTAAAAGATGTTTTGCCGTGTCTATAACTAACACTCTTCGATATGTTTTGACAAACCAAAACGTCCATGTCATGGGCGTTTTGCTGTTTCAAAACGCGTCAAAACATCCTCATAGTAGAGTGTTATATAGACACGGCTAAATATTCTTGAGGGTGCAAACTTGCTTACTGTGTGGGACTCGCTGCGAAAGACGTGTATCTCAACTGCCGGAACAAGCAGGGAGTCGGTGTAAAGAGCACCACGTAGTTCGCATGACGAACGCCGAGTCTTGAAATTTCCCTGACAAGATTCTACACGTGCCGGAAGAACCCTACATGCTTACTTCCGCCATTTACGTCATCGACGCTTTGGTGAACGGAGTAGTTGGAACTCTATACGAACGGTAATCGTTGGGTGTCCGTGCTATAGACGGTTTCAAGATTGAAAGCGTTGTGCCCCCCCAAAAAAAACTTCAGGTCACCTCATTCACCAGCTCGTAACGTCGAAACTGAAAGGACGTTTTCACGTTTTTTTTTCAAAGGTAAGGAAAGTCTCTTATTAGTTTTTCAGATAAATAGAACGTGCGTAATGTTCAAGGTAATCTTTTTGTGGTTTTTATGTAGCCCAAAAGAACATTTATTTGAATATATTTTGCCAAATGATGGAAAGAAAGTGTAGAAAATCAGCGGGCAGTTAATTTAACGCTCTTCTTGCCCACCTATGCTATTCCGGCACATCGGTGGATAGAATTGGAAATCATCGACCCTCTGCGTTTTTAAACAGTGAAAGGGTCTATATACGCACTTTCTCAGGTTTCACAGTAATCAAGCTTCTATAAGTATCTCTCTTTGATGCTTATCTTCAATAGTTTTAAACACATCTTGATTTACAGTGAATGGTATCGCACGTACGTTGGGCCATCGTTTTCTCACCGTGTTTTCCACGAAGAATAACCATGCTTCTCCCACAGCTTGATTAAACAACTGGGGAACCGCGAAGTCAGAGCCGTTCTAGTACCTGTCACGTTTGACGAGCATCCATACGGTATAGCAGAAGGCAACTTTGGCGTGCGCTGAGACTGACGCGATTCGTTTGCGAGCAATCTCCACAAAACTTTTTTTTTTCTGAAATCCCGGCCGACTCGTTAACATACGCATTACGATTACAGTTGACTTCTTTTGTGCATGCAATCTTCTTTAGAGTGTGACTCCAGCTTAACCCAACTTGGTTGGTGTCGCCTCCTTTTTAACGGGACATTAAAGATGGACCATGCGAATCAGTTCCATACTCATATACATTTTTTTTATAACTGCACGAAAGTGGCATAGTTTAGTAAGAGGTCAGTTGAATCAAGGCAGGAAATTGAAGGTTTCGCATTAGGAAGTGGACCACCGCCAATACGTCACAGGGAAGTCGATGGTTTCAGTTACACACGTGCTTGAAGCTTCGTTTTATAGACTATTCGCCATAAGATACCTGGGTACTGGTACTGCCATTTCGGAGTGTAAAGCAGACGTTTTCTCGTTTTTTTTTTTTGTGTGTATCGCGACGGGAATTAATAAGGCCATGAAAAATCGTATGCACTAACTCAATCGTTTTAATGTGTATACGTCTGCCATTACACTACACTGTTCGTCTAGATGTTAAAATTTTAAGACACAGATGTTGACAGCCAAATATGGTGGCACTCAAACCTATCCGTAAAACAGTCAATAGCGAGAGATCTACAGGCTTGCCCCCTCTCAGCCTTCTGTATGGGGATTGATCATTTCAACTGCGCCTCGGCGACAGCCTTATAACCGCTGACCACAGAAAAAAAAAAACGTTTGCTTTGCAATACCCAACAGAAGGATTTAACTTTCTCAGCAATGCTGCGCTGCTGCCTCTTTTTTTATCATTTTGTATTCGTAGCTTGCTTAAAGCCGCTTTTATACGACAGTAGGGACTTGTCGACATCGTTTTCGTGGAACTTGCTCAAACGGATCAAGTGCCCTGACTTCAAGCTAGACAGCGTTGTCGCGAGCATGCTAATTTATCGACTTCCCCACTGCTCGACAACCACTGAGTCATACATGCCCAAACTGGAACGAGATGCGCGAGGCAGTGCATATTGATGAGAGAGTTTGAAATTCGTCCACGCCTCGGTCACGTCTGCACGGCGACACTGCGCAGCTTTATTCGCGCAGTTTTAGTTCTTGCTGCATTCCTTCTTTTTTTTCTAAATATAGCTCGAGGGAAGCTTACTGACACCGCACACTCGGACCTTAATCGGCCGTTTCTTTTTCGCCAGCTTGGCGCGTGAGGCTCGCATTAGATTAGCAAACCTACCAGAGAAAAAGAAACAAACAGAAAACTGGCCTTCGTCGAACTTATGAAACGGGTTGTTATAATAACTCCTTGCCGGCCGCTTGGCCTTCGCAGGGAAGTGTGTTGCTATGCTCTTGTGGAATGGTCTGGCGCGTGCGTTGAAAGTGGTCGATTGACCGGCGATGTCTACGCCGATTGACCGGCGATGTCTACGCCGGTGCGTTGAAAGTGGTCGATTGACCGGCGATGTCTACGCCGCACTGTGATGCGGTTTTTCTCGGAAGCCTAACCCCCGTATCCTAGAACGCCCCTTCACTCAATGTTTCACCTTCACTTGAGAAACCCGATGGGAGCGCCATCTCTAGGCAGATCAAGTCACTGCATATCAGCGATAATCTGCTGCGTTTCTCGAGTAGCGCAGCGTCATCTTCAGCCGAGCGGTGGCGCAGTGCTCAACTCTGTCAAGTGAATGCCGAAAGTCGAGTCGAGGAGCGTTTGTGAATACGGGGGTTTGTGTAATATAACAATGACTTATGGAGTTTTACACGTGCCGAAACCACGATATGGTTATGCAGGCTGCTCGTAGTTGCGGATGTCAGATTCATCTCTTATACCCCGGAGAGGGTTCTTGCATTTCACTCCCCAATCACACAAAGCGGCCGCTTTGACAGGCAGTCGAACTCGTTCGTGCCCTCGATCCAGCTTAGCAGTGCGACACCTTACCTGCCAGGCTATACCACGTGGGGGTGTTACAGAAGAGCTTTGTTCGTGTGAAAAACGCTTCTTATATTTTCCCCCTAAACATACTTAAATTTGCGTTAGAAAGGAGTTCACGCTGAGTTTTTTATTCTTTTGACACATGTCATGCACCCTAGGCGGTAGGTTCAATGATTGTAGTGTGCCCGTTGCCATGGTTACCATGTAGCGCGCGATAATTCAGGCATGTAGTGTGATGGAAGTGCAATGCACAAAATTCTCGATCACTAAACATTCGAGGCACCGTGATTCGATGTAACTGATCGTATGTGTGATAAAAGCGATTTCTGAAGTCCTTATCTACAGCAAAGCTTCGTGGGATATTCGGTCACATCGATCATTTTTTATTCGTAATAACGAAGAGAACGAATGAACATTGCTTCAATCAGTGGCAGTTCGGTACGTTGCAGCGTCGAATAAGTGCTTATCAGCACGCGTGCAACTACGCGTTGATGGAATAGTTACAAGCGTCGCACGTTTTCGTGACTCTTCTGGTTAGCGCCGAAGCTCGAAGGTTGCGATTAAAGCAACAGGTTGCGGCGAAAGCATTCACAAGCGATGCAGGATCTGGCGAGAGGTGGCAGCCAAGGCATTCGTTCGCTTGCACGGGGCCACTAGAGCATGAAGGTCCGTTCGCTTTCTTGTAATTGTGTAAGAAAAGGGGAGAAAATTGAGGACAAACAGCTGCAAGCGCCAGTCAGCGAAGACTCGATTACGTGGATGCACTTTTTGTCCCTCCATAAGTGGTACATTGCTTATACGATACTCGGCCGCCGAACCGAAGGTCGCTGGTTCGATGTCGGTCCGTGGCGGTCGCATTTACATGAAGGCGAGATGCGCGAGTCCCATGTACTGTTCGATGTCACTGCACTTTAGAGAACACCAGACGGTAGAAATTCTAACTAAGCCTCCGCTACGGCATCTTTCATAATCATATCTTGGTTTTGTGTCATAAAACCCCAGATATTATAATTTCATGCGTTTGTCTCTGTAGAAGGGACCCATTCTTTTCCTTCACTATATGCTCTGGATTCTATAAGGTGAGTAGTGCAGGGCGATAGGTAAAACCACCTAATAATTTCTGATAAACAATCACTGCTACTGCATAATTCGTGACGCCTTAAAACACAATGCATGCTTACCTCATCTGTTCTTTTAACCATGATGCCCGTCTGTGGTCCAAGCGAAATCCTTCACTGTAGCGCTCCGTCTTGCCTCGCTGAGGTTCGAACCCGCCCAAACGTAGCCTAATTTTTTTTTTTTAACGAGAAGGTTCACCAAACGACGACGCTACCTAGACGAGAGTAGCGTCTTGCGCTCCACCACGAAACAAGCGCCCCGGAGAAGCAGACGACGCGCGAATGAAAGAGCGCCCATGGAGGCCGCCATGTTTATACGCCAGGTGAGAGGAGGCGAACTGGCTACTCTTCCGGCGGAAACGACAAGATCGTGACGTTTAGAAACGTCGCGGTGACGTCAATTAGCCCCGCCCCCTCCCAACGTCGGGCGATGAATGGACGACGTAACAACGCTGCGCGGGCAACGTTTGAAAGGAAAAGGCTAACAGGAAGAAATCGTTAGCGGAGGAGCGGCGAGAGGAACTTGTGTTTTGTTGGCGACGCGAGGAGGCGAGGGGGACCGCGATTGCCCACGGCCGACGCAAGGGCAAGTGGCTGGGGAGCGGCGAATCTACAAGCGTGTGGTATGTGAGCGTGTGCTGTACAGCGTCGTGAGTCGCACGTGTCGGCGGCCGCCGGAACTAAAGATTCGGCGAAAAGCGGAAAAATACAGGCGATCTAACAAACAGAAAACGACAGTCGCACGCGTGTCTGGAGAGGAGCGTTTCGTCCGCGCTACGCTGGCTCGCCTTTTACACTGAGAGGTTGCAACGTCGAAGCGGCCGCGGCGGGGGATTCCCACGACTACTGCTGGTGCAAGGATGTTATGTTATTGGCCGCCGCCGCGTGCTGACATCATGCGCGTTTCGCCGGTGTAGTTACTTTTTTTCGCTTTCGAGGCAAGGATTTACCGGGAGCAACCAACACGTGCTGGTGGCGGCGGTATAGGATAACGGTGACGCATTCCGCATACCGCCTGAGTATAGAGCGATCGGAAGAGTTTCTTTTTATCTTTTCACGGAAGATACACTAATGTAGACGCTGACTTTGGATGGGTCTTTCTTGGCTGTCTCCTGTATTATGTTACTCGGTTCAAGTTGAAAAATAGCCGGAAAAGTTGCTTATAGACTTATTTATGGAGCCCCACGAATAGTAAGCAACTACCGTGTCTTCGCCTTTCTTCACACTCACACCCTGTAGCAGGTGTTTCAGACTCACCGGAGACAAGGGTCGTGACAGTGAAAAATATAAGAGCGAGGGTAGGGGGGAGGCGGAGTTCGCACAGAATGACAGCTAACGTTACCTAAAGTTAAAGTTAAAGGTAAGTTAAAGTTAACGTCTGATATAAACTGTAAACCAGTTCAAACCCTTAAGGGGCTTTGAAGAAAGCCAAGTACCCTTTGCCCTACCAAAATTCGAAATCGGGGTGTAAGGGAGTTTTCCTTTCCCAAATCCATCTAAATCCCCCTTTAGGGGTTAAGGGTGTTTTGGGTTATTAAAACACTCGTACAACAGCCTATCACATGATAACTGGGACTCGCCGATTGAGGGGTCATTGGACCTTAGGGAAGTTTAGATTAAAATATATACCTTGTAGCATACCATAAACTTACGCCTATTCTCTTAAAGTTTAGTGCTCACTTATAGCGAACAGGACTTTCCACCGGCATTAAACCGTGGCTCAAGATACTACGACTACATATACCAGATGGCCGCTTTAAGGCGGTGTAGCACGAAGGTGCTGTCCGTAGCGTATTATACTTGTCACTCTGTGGTCTGTATTATTTGGTGCGTGCGTGCACCTTCTATTCTGATGTCAACTGCGATTGCTTATTCCCTGAATGGCGCATTTTATTATTGACGGTTTTTTTAACAGTGATAAGGGGGTTTAGGCCATTGGAAATGTCACCTCACGACTTGAGTGCTTTGATACGCGAGAACACTCTTTTTCTATGGAGTAAGGGTGTTAGTTAGAGGCACGGTAAGACCCCCCAAAGGGCGTAAATTGGTTTACTGGCAAATTGGCCCGTCAATCTTTCCTTCTGTAGAAAATTTGGCGCCACTGATTGCAACATACCGATAGCGTTCTCCTAAACGGCTAAAATTCGCAAATGTAGTTATTCTTTTACGGCCCCGTTTGAACACATGACGACCACATGAAGTAACTCACGACGACAATGCTTCAGATCAGTCATGCCAATGTAGAACACGTGCATACATATTCGGAGAATATATATAATAATAAAAAAACTTGTGACGAAGACAGTCATGTGCGGCCGCAGGCAGCAAGCGAGAGGATAGAGAGACCCCTGTTCTAGAACTAAAATATTTACAATAAATTCTCAATGTCAGCTGAAGGTCGCTTTGCCTTCTCTCACAAAGCTACGCTACGGACTGAAAAATCACTTCATCGCAGGCCGGGTATATGGCATTCGCTGACTTGAGCACTGCTGGTCGGCCGGCCGGTCAGCCGGCCGGTCAGCCATGACTTGTCCACGCCTGCGCGCGCGATCGCACTGAAAAGTCGCTCAAAAAATGAAAAAAAGGGAGAAGCGCTCAAGGTCACGAGACGCCTGTGACGTATTAGATCCAAAAGAGCTGTTTGATTAGCCTGTGTAACTCTGTCCCTCCGTCCGCATCGCGCTCCCCAGGTGTTGGGGCGGTGCCAAGTAGGTCAAGCCTTACCTCGCAATGCGCGCGCGTTGACGTCAATCTTTCCCTAGCCTGTCGCCGCTCACCGCGTGTCATCTCTCTCGATTCACTCTTTCTACAGCTCGCAGCGTTCGAGCGCGCATCGAGTGGAAACACTCTTTCGGCTCGTTTACCCGCCATGAAACTTACATGGAACCCAGCCCATCTCCAGTGTCGTTGCGTTTCAAGGAAACGTTTACTCAAGTAAAGGCTACACCGAGTTTCGCTTTAAACCGTTATTCCAGCACCCGCGTCGACGCCCGTTTCAGCCTGGTGAAAGGTGTGAGCACCGCTGCTGCTTCGCATCCCATCACGGTTCTCTTCAGGGAGTTGTTTTCTCTCCCCGTGCCATCCGTTCCTGCATGCTTTGCTTTCAGCACTTTCGTCGAGACGAGAAAAGAGAGAAGGCAACTTAATCAAACCATTTGTTGTGCTAGTTGGTGCGTGCTTACAGAAATAGAAAAAGAAGGCGTGTACCATCAAGGAAGAAAAATTCAGGATAATTTTGCTTCTTTGATAGTACGCGTCTTTTGTATTTCAGTCAGCGTGCGACAAATTTTGAAACTCTGCGCGTACTGGACGGATTCTAAAAAAGAAAATGCGGTTTTGAATTCAATAGGCATCTAGCTTCTTTATTGGATCCCTTCCTTGGCTACTTTGAAAAGTGTTGCAGAAACAGCCGCTCGACGATTTAGGGTACTATACATGGCAGTAACCCACTTCACTTATGTTTAGAAAATGTAGTAGGAGTGCACGAATATTCGAGTTTCCGAACAAAATAACAATCCATAATCGAATATCTCAATTTAACTTTGAAGTGGCTAATAGGCGGCGTTTCGAATAATTGGACAGGACAAATATATAAAAGGCGACAAAGGGCAATGGTGCAACATAGACTAAAACTGGTAGGCCTTCTGTAAACCTTTCACCGATATTCTTGTTCTTTTAAAGTGTGTGTATGTCTATTTTTGAAAAAAAAAATAACATAATTTTGTAACGTAAGAAAAGGAATTGAAAAATTGTCAAGCCCTCCACTAATTCGCTTCTGAAATGAAGGCACGGAATTCTTGCGTAGTTCGCTCCAGTGTGCCGCAGGCGCCGTAAAACGTCCGGAATTCGGCCCACTATAAACGTTCTCCGATTGGCTTCGCATGTGAAAATTGGTTCAAGCCGCACAACACTACTTGTTGAGAAATTCCCGTCGTTCCGGCGCACTGTCAAAAACCACTCCTGTGAATGGGTGATCGAAGGTTTTTTGTACGCCGAGAACTCATGACAATGAAGCGTATTAGCTCTATCCCTATCCCTTTAATAATTCCTATCCCTTTTAATCCCTCCTTACCCCTCCTCCCTTGAGAGCCACTGTATAGGTGTCGCACTATGATGCAGACAGTTAAGGGGCTCACTTTTATCCTCTTTTCTGCTTTTTTAGGACCACTTACATCGTAGCCTCGAAGTTCTAGTTCAATTTTAGTCTTTCTGCGGCAGCCCCTCACCACGTGACGTACTACGAGAGACATGCGAAGATTTCGTTAGTTATTTTTTATTATCCTATGAAACATATTGAAGTCGATATTCTTGGCCACTCTTAGCACACCTCTAAAAATTGCTGCCTATCGATCTCAACGAGTCTTATGTGACCGATGGTTAAAAGTACGGTGTGTTTTAAAAAATTTGTTAACGCTTGAGAGTACTTGGCACTCTACTATGGGAGAGCGTGAAGCCGTCCCGCAAATGAGATTGAAAACAATTGTGTGTTTAGAAAAATTGTTTAAGAGAATTTTATTTCTGAAAAAATTATACATACACAAAAGACATTTATGCGATAGATTGTTCGTTCTGAACCCATTGCTAATATGTCTTAATATACATTCGAATGCACAACAGGAATTTTTTGTGCCTGTAAACAGAAATTCTAACATGCATAAAGAAACTATGCTCAGGGGTACGTACAATTCATGAAAAGGAACGAAAAACAACATTTAAAAATGCGTATAAGAATAAATAAATACTTATACAATACTAAATTCAGGTTCAGTGAAATCACAAATGCTAGCCTACCTTTTCAGTAATGAAGGCAAGACATGGACACTTTGTTCTTTCTGAGAAGAATGAATTGCGTTGACCACCGCAGGAGGAAAGCTTCCTCCCTCAGAATGAATGACTGTTCGTTCAGATGTGTTACCATTATGATTCTTAAGCGATGTAGCAGAGGAAACATGACCCTCTGAGGGCGCCCCCGCAGGCATGCCAGTCCCCTCCGCTTCGAAAATACAAAAGCACCAATACATATTATCAACTCAACAAAAATGTCTCTGTGCCGCGACTGCCATTGCATGCTGACTTGAAGCATGCTGGTCGCCAAACGCCAGAAAGTACGTGCCACAGGACATTCGTGAAGTACATGATTTAGAGTTACCGTCCTGCCGCACTGCGGACATGAGGAAGAGGGCGCCACATCCGACGCCGCAAGGCGGTCGGCCGTCGGCAACGCCTGTCATTCTCTCAACCAAGTGAAGTCTCGGGCTTCAGCGGGTATAAGGTCGTGGTTT